CTTTGGGTAATATGTCTCTGAATGTTCCCCGATAACAAATTTTTGGTAAATATTTGTATTTAATTTTTTTTCTTCTGTGGAGTGGAGTGGAGTGGAGTGTTGGCCTAGTGGTTAGAGCAGTGCGCTTGTGCTCTGAGAATGACATCGTTTGGTCCCCACAGCCTGCACTCTGGGTTCCTGAGCAAGACCTTTAACCCCACACTGCTTCCCTGGAGCAGCAAATGGCAGACCATTGCTCCAAAGGAGATGGGTTAAATGCAGAGAGTGAGTTTTGTTGCTTTGTACTTGACAATTTAATGACAATAAAGTTAAATTCTATTCTAATTTTCTATTCTGTGCCTTCCCAATGCAAAATCCTGGTAATACCAGTATGTGCTCCTGCAGGGGAGGGCCGTTTTAATTCAGGTTGAATCGATATCACTCGATTGGTCAGTTATTGATGAGCTTCTAGGATTGGTTGACAGATTATGTCACGTCAGTTGTGTTACTGCTCTAGAACTTTTTGAATGTTTTGTTTTAATAACTAAGTCCCTGTCCAGTACCATGGACAGCAACACCCTAGAAGTTTTTAATTTGATTGGAAGACTGCTGATGTTGATTGTGGGTAAAAAGACTATTCAATTTAAACATGGTTTGAGATCTCATTTACCAGGGAAATATATGGTGTTCACCAAAGCAGGGAGATTACAAATGATTATGATCTTATAAGCAGTTATTATTAACTAATTTGACGTGATCAAAGGAGACAGAGACTAAGTGCGTTTCAATTACCAACAAAATGCTCAAATTGTAAAAAAAAAAAAAAAAAACAATTTATCAATGGAAACACTGCAATTTTGATTGAAACACATGTTTTTCAATAAAAAGTTTCTACTCTTCAAAGAGGTGGTTTTTCAGTCAGGAAATACTTTTTTCATATGAACCAAGTCACAAGATATGCAACTAGACCTTACTGGCTTGTAAAAAGACAAGGAAAAAGACCGCAACTAGTTGGAGAATGATGGAGCCCAATAGAGCTGTGTATATATCTCATGCGCTTACTTCTGCTGCTGATATGTTTTTTCAAAATGATCATGTGGGGAAAACATAGTGAAGTGCAATTTTAATTTTATTCGTTTGGAAGTACCACAATTACGTAAATTCGCATTTTCAGAGTGTGGAATATTGACATAGTTTTGCACACATTTGTAATGGAAATGCAGCTATTGAAACACCTAAACTGCAGTAAGAAATGCGAAAAGGGTTTTGCGTTGTTTTTTTTATTTATTTATTTATTTTTTTTGGGGGGGGGGTTGTTTTTAGTTATGTAGAAAGTAAGAGCATGGCTTTCAGAACATGGCCTCCAGACTTTGGAGGAGGATGAATGTTTTTTTTTTTTCTAAAATTCTTTGTTTTCTTATTATTAAAGGGATTAAGAATGGTACCCAGGATGTGCTAAAAATACTTTGATTATATATTATTATAAAAGATATCTATATTTTTGTGTTATTATAATATAAATACTCTAAATTGTAGTTTGACTGGAATGCCACATGGTGTAAAAAGGCACAACAATCCTTGTAAAGCATTAGTAGTAAGAAATACAACTTGCCAAAAACCTTGTTCTCCTCTTCTATTTTCCTGGCACGCAAAGTGTATGTGAAACTTTAGGCTACATCTGGATAGGATTGCAGCTTCAAACAGCACCATTAGTTGACATGTCTGTAGGGTTGGGATCATAGAAATAGACCAAAAGGAACAACTTTCCCAAACCACAAAGAATAAAAAAAAATGCAACTAGTTTATATAAGATTAGGTTCCAACAGAAAGTGATTCACAGCAACTGCCCCTGCAGCAGCACCACCAGGTGGAGTCAGGATTTTTTTCCTATATCAAAACATTTAGACTATAAAAATATAGACCTATTATTGATGTTTTAAAATTTTAAGTATCTTTTTTGAGCACAATTGAAATATCTAATCCCTTTTTCAGTTTCAGATTCATGCTGATGTGGAGTTGTATTTGTCTTCTATCCTTTGAACAAATAGGCTAGAACAAATCATTTTTGGCTGAGGCTCTCTGATGTCAGGCCTGGAGTCGTTCCCGTGTTTCTAATTAGCCCTGGCTCTGACATGCCAGCCCGCAGGCCGATGCTTGGCATGAGGCAGCGGGACAACCCAGCTGCCCCCATGTCCTTTGCCCTGCCTCAGGGAGAGATTTCTGGGACCGCTGCTGCCTCTGCAAGCGCCTTCGAACAGAGACCTGGATCGAAGGAGAAAGGTGGCTCATGCCCCACATAACACTCTGTCAGACGCAATATTTCATGGTTTAAAAGGAACTCTCCATCAGCAGTCTGATCATTACAACCTGTCCCTGCTGCCATGCTCCACTTTCACACATAGTGTAACTGCAGTCTGAGGTACATGGTAACAAACTGGCAGGAAACAAGCATTGTGCATTGATTAGCAGTAGACAAGTGTGAAATTAGGCAGAGGCAGGTGAGAGGCATTGGCCAGAAAGATCCGCCCACCCCATGACAGCATGAGCACAGCAGCTGGCATTTATGCAAAACCAGCAAGTATGGGAAAATGGAAAATGTTGAGTGCTGAATTTGAGGGGGTAAAAATTTAGACGGATGAGCTGTTTTGGGAGAAAGTGGGCAGCAGACTGAAAGTGAGATCACATTTGTGAAATAGTTCATTTTAAAGCAAATACTGTAGACACCAGGTAATAGTTTTAATAGGCTCATGATAACAACCCAGATGATAAGGTTCAGCCTGGCTCAAAGGCAAATATATAAAGTAATGCTGGACTCCTCACATGACCAGAGTTTTTCCTCTGTGGTTGCAATATTCAAGTTAAATAAGCCAGGCCGCTGCTTGGTATATTAATGTAGATCGTTTTGGGGCCTAAACTAAAATATTATGTTCTTTTGTCAACAATTTCTTTTCTTGTGACTTTCACAAAAGGCAGATTTGTTGAGCACATGACTAACAAGCATATGGGCTATGTGATTCTGCCAACTCACCTGCCAAGTATTGCTGCAAACCATTATCTTCTTAACTTGTTTGCTCAGTCTCTTAGTTTAGATAAATGACCATGTTTACACCATATTAGTTAGATTTTTCGATGATTCACTGAGCTGTATCATATTTTTAAAGGACAGGTTGTTGTTTTGAAAATAAACCATGCTTTTTAATCCTCCACATTCTGCCATGTTTCTTGTTCATGACATTGTTCAGTAATATGCTCAATCAAACCTCTGAAACCTTTAACTTTGAACCTTTTAAGGTACCTTATCATAGTTACTCAAAAAAAGACAGCGATAAATGATGCATTAATGACAAAGAAATTTGCAATTTATCATTTCAATTTAAACAATTGAATCTAGGCTATAAGGAGGCACAAATCTTGTTTGCAAAACACAACCAAAGTTATACCCAAACAAAATTAATGATGTAGAAAAAAAATGACAACCTATGAACAATATTTATGTCTCCACAGCCACAACCCAACATCAGACCACCACAATATAGATGTCAAATGAAAGCAGACACTCATTTGAATCAATTCATGTGCTTCAGTTTCATCTAAAACAAACCATTGCAGAGATCCAACCCAATAAACAGCAAGAGAAGAAACCACTTAGCCAGAAACTGGTTTTAAAAATATATCTTACCTCTGCTGTTTCTCTATTGATAAATCCAAACAGTCTTGCTTGAAAGTAATCTCAATCAAAAGCAGAGAGGAAAAAAAATGTGTGGCATACCCACATGTCTTCAGGACCCATAGCTTGCCTTTAAAGCCACCAATCCATGTGCCTGACCAAGACTTCTTGGCTCTGATTGGCTGTAATCACTGTCAATCTTTCACATCTGCATCTAGATTCCTTCTACTGGCTCTTAAATATTGATTGACCTATTATTCACCAAAATCAACCCCTCCTTTGCAGAGTTATGTCCATGCATGACTACACTCACAGACAGGTGGTGGAAAACTGTGAGGGAGCAGATATATGTGTTTGGGTTCGTATGTGGTTGTATTTTCAAATAGTTGCCCAAAACCTTTGGATTCAACTCTACTCATCACCATTAGCGTTCTAGTAATGAAAAATACATTTGTCTACATGAAATATTTGGATGGCACAGATGGTGCCAAATGTGCCAAAATGGCAAATGGAAACCTTGCCTGAACTTATTGTAAAAAAAAAAAACATCTTTGTAATTCTGTTTAGCTTCACTTTAGAAGGAGAGAGCTTTGCATAAACAATGACATCATGTTATACTTTAGTTTGTTGGACAGTAATGGCATCCTAACCATAATTTCAGATAGTTGATGGTGATGCTGAAAGTACTTTTTTTCAGGCGAGGTTTGAAATGTTGCTGTGCCATCTTAATTTACTCTTAATCAGTAACACATATACTAGAATTTACACATCTCCAATAATCTCACGTGTTTTCTTTTATTTGACTCAAATGTGTTCAAGTTGAGCTTGTGGCTGCAGAGATACACTGATTTTAATTGGAGCATGTCATTTCAAGAAAAAATAAAAATGTCTTAGGGTTCTGAAGATCAATTTATAGTGAGATTAAATTACAAGCAGGTGGGATCTAAAAGAAATTGGGCGTGCTGTGTTTCATTTCAGGTTCTCAAAGTAGGAGAGGCTGATAAAATAGGATAAAATTATTTCACAAGACATCAGGATTTCAAGCAAACATATAAGCCTTTCTGACTAATTTGTCAGAGACTTCTTAAATGGCTTAGCTTTTTCCAAAAGATCCACCAACAAGAGAACAGAATAAGGAGTAGCACGCTGACTGGAGACATGATTGTGGCAAAGCATCCTTCACAGCCTCTCTCACACACTGTCATGCAAACAAGGCAGGGAAGTGCACAGAAATCATCTTTTTTTAGAAGCACAAATGGAATGCTTTCCCTAAAAATCTTTTTCTCACCCTTGCTGATGCCTCTGTCATCAAAGATTTGCACTTGTTTCTTTATCACAAGGGTCTCAAACCCATAGGGCTAGTGCTGCCAGGTCGGTCAGGTTTAATGAGTGCAAACAAAATAGCAGCAAAGTTTAAAGGTTTCTTAGTTGAAAAAGGAGGGAGAGGAAAGAATGACAAGGAGAGTCAGTGCAAAGAGAGAGCGAGAAGGAACAGACAATTAGACTCAGCTTCTCCCCAACAAGCCCATTTCTCGCCTCCTTCAGGCAAAGCGGAGCAGCAGCACCAACGTGCGGATTTTGACTTGAGAAGAACGCGCATCGGCGGAATATTTCGAGAGGATTGGTGACCAGACCTACCAGAGAAAAAGGATATATATCGGAAATATTAGAGGGAGAGAAGTCGCCAAGAAGCGTCTCTGGTATATTTCGATTCTCTGCGCGACTATAGGAAGTCTCCTGGTCTCACCTGCGCGCCGTGCGTGTCCCATCTCCCTGGGGACAAAAGTGCGTAAAAATTTTCACATCGACTTTTACGCAAGGTGACACTCCGAGCTGGAGAGACTCGGACGCGCTCCTGGAAGCACGATGCTGATCGGTAAGTGTTGAGCACCTTGTGATTGCGCTCAAACATAGATGGCTCATTAAAATGTGTAGAAAGGAACCGGCGCACTGTCCAGTCAATGTGCATTATGAGAAGGGTGCTTTGAGCTGCTGCTGGGGAGACGCTGAGAATAGGGCGAATTATCCCAAAAAAGTGGTTAAATATAAAATATATATATATTAATATAATAATAAATAACGGGATCTGCAAATTTAATTGAATTAATTAATTTAACTAATCGATCATAATTGTCGGCTGGATTTTTTTAATTAAGTTTTTTTTTTTTTTTTTTTTAAGCTCTCATGCAAACTCCAACCTGGAGTTTTTGATGCTAAAATCTGCACAACTTCCCATATTTAATATAGAAAGTTGTTGGCTATTTTGGATAATAAGGCGCTCCTCTGCTGTAAAATATGTCTCTCACCTTTGCAGCTCTTTAAAAGGTCCGTGAAAAAATCTGATCTCCCCTCTCTGATACAGCAGTTCACTAAATTGCACATTGAAGCCAAGTTGTCAATGATTTATAGTGTTTAAGATCTTTTTTTTTAAGCTAAAATAAGCAGTAGATGAATATGTGAATGCTGTAAATTGCACTGAGCAAAGATATTTGAAGAAAATCCCCATTATATCCCATTAATTTAAAATTAAGATTTTTTTGTTGTTGTTTTTCCTTTTTTCTTTCTGGTATTTAATCAGTTTCCTAAACATTAATGTTCAGGCTCCCAAACCTGCATTACCTTTCAACAAGGTTTCAGAATCACAGTTTTTTTTTAATGATAAACAAGTGTTAATTCCCACAGTAGCTTATTTCTCCTTGCAGGAAATGTTTCCACCTCATTTGCGTGCTTAACTCCATCTTGTGTCAGATTATGTGGGAAAATGAACATCCACTTATCATTTGTGTGGGCTGAGTTAATGGGCCTGCTCTGCTGGGCTTCAATAGAAACCTTGATAGTTTCATTGATATTTGTTTTTATTATTTAAAAAGAGTGTCAAAAAGAAAAGGGAAAAATTCCTTCGATCTTTTCCCCTTCTACAGTTAAATTTAGCTTTTCTATTAATTCCACCTCATAATCAATTAAATCAATGCTGGAAAATTTAAAGCAAGTATGCTTAGAGTCTTGTTTATCTAATTGATCGTTACACACATGCTCATGTCTGTGTGTGATGAATCTAAGTGATTCAATGTGCATTGCTCCTATAAAATGGCTTCAATGTATGGGTAAATTCCATATGCAAATGGGCGACACATGAACATTTCAGTTTTTTCTACTTCCTACCTGCTGAACGTCTGCCCCCTTCTCTCCTAAAACAGAATTGCTTTCCTCCCCAGTGAAGGCTGCCTTCTTTCACAGACGACCCAGGTCGCCCTCTTGCACATATTTCACTTTAGATGTTGTGTCACTTTAGAAGCTCATTTAGTCGCAGGGGAGCGCTGTTGCTGCTGTGGCATCACTGTTATGCAGTTTAGAGGCCAAGCTTGGTTCGTATCTGCTACTCATTGTTAAAGTAGCCAGTTGGCTTCAATTCAATGCTTTACAGCCCCCCAGCTCCCCAACAACCCGCCCCCCTCCCCAGCAAGATCAGCTTTTCGGAGGGATGATTATAGGCTTGAGAATTTGGGAGTCGGTCACATTCTTCCTGAATGCTTTTTTTATCTGCTAGATCTGACATTTGTTTGGGGGGTAGGCTGCACTGGCAAATCCCTGCTGAAGAGGCTCCTTGGTTTGATGGGGGTAATTACAAGCAGCTAGGATTACAGTTTGTGACCCCTCTGTGGGGGCTGAATATAACATGAAAGCACAGCTTTTCAGGAGAGAATGAAAACAGGTGGATGAAATTGATTAAAAAAATTGCTTTATTCCTTCGGTGTCACTAATAACATTTGCCCAGTTCTGTTGAGAATTGTCTTTTAAGTTTTTCTATCCTCTGCTGGTGTGTTTGAAGTGGCAGTATAGGTGGTGGAGGTGTAAGAGGGAGGTTAATGAAAAGGCAGTAAGAAGGGACTCAAAAAAACTTTTCCCCCTGTCTCTAGCCATTAACCTCATAAAGAAAAAAAATTGCATTCTCAACGTGACGTGTGGTTTTGGAACTACTTGACAAATGAGTGTGTGTGTAGCAAAGCATTAAACAGTGGTCTGTAGTGTGGATCAGAAGGATGAAGCTGACAGCTCTACAAATCCAACTGGATTCACCTCTGTCTTCTCTCTCTCATTTTTAAGGCTAATAATCCTCGCCATTAGCTCAACAAAATCCTTTAACTAAAAACGACATCTGAAGTATAGATTCAAGGTTTTTCCAACTCCAGTTCTGCATATTTTGTAATCATACTTGTTCCATTTGACTGTGATAAATGCTTTATCACACAAACCTTTCATGACATGTCAAGGAGAATACAATAGATTTAGGTGATTTGGAGAAGCGATGAATTAAAAAAATAAATCAGGACTTTGGCCATGTTGGAGAGGTTAAAGTCCCCTGCATTGTCCAACTGATATATACTATTTAATTTTTAATGTTTCCATCCTTTAATTGTCAAATATGCCATCTCTGTCTGTTGTAGTTACATTTTTCTTATCCAATCTTATTTCTTGTCCCATTAAAGAAATAAAAAACTGTTTCAGACATGCAGCTGATGATATCACAATGTAGCACTTGTTTAGTGTCTCAGGCTGTCATTGCCTCTAGGTAGCTGTAAAAATAGATTCTATTACTCCATAATGTTTTTATTTAAAATTCTTTCATTTGTTTTATAGTTTCTTCTGCGTCACATTTCACAGTATGCTGAGGCTTTTCATGGAGGCTCGTGTCATGCTTTTTTCCAAAGACCTCTCTCTGGGAGTGTTTTCCTGTGTAATTTCAAGTTAAAATAGGAGTATGAGTAATACTTTCTCAACAATGCAGTTCTCACTATGCATCATTGCACATGCCAGTGTATTTGACTTCAGCATAAAACCATATTATCTTTAAATTGGTATTTTTTTGTCCTGATCACAGGAGTCCATATTTGCCCACAATGATTACTGATCATACTCTGTGAAAATGCATTCTGTTTGGTTGTTTGCTTGGTGGCTGATTCCTTAAGGAAATCTATTGATCTCAGTTTTTCATGTACTAACAGCTTAAGCATTCATTCATTCCTGATTCATTGATATATTTGTCAAAGCCTGATTAGTTTGTTTCAAACAATCTTTAGTTCCCTTCTATTGGACATGTTCTTCATTGGATAGTCTCATGCAATGAGGTTGGTAAATATATCAAGCTTTTAAAATATCAGTAATTAACTGTATGTTATATTAGAAAGAAATTGTTTTAGCCATTAGTCTATAATTAGCAAAGATTTGAATCGTCACATTGTTCCATAAAAGCATGATGACAGTATGGAGTAACAGTGAAAAGAAAAAAAATAAAACTTTAGTCTGTTAGTATTCATGGTTATGAAATCGATTGAAATACTAATTCAATGATCTCTTCCAGAGAAGTGCTTAAATAATTGCTTTAGTGGTTATTTTTGAAGATTTAACACTGTCATGGTATCTCCTTGTTACCTTAATCAGCAAAAGTTAGTTAATTCAGTCATTTAAACCAACGTTACCTATTATTTTTTTATTTTCTGCTTCACCTTCAGTATGATAGACAGACAGACAGATAATGTTGGTTTGAAGAACTAATTAAAACATATATAAAATTAAAAGTCCAAATTATAGTTTTTGTTCAGTTGCATCAGTTGCAGTTTAAAATAGAATGTACTACTATGCCTTTTGGGCCTTTCTAAACCTGTTATTAAAACATACTTTACCATAAAATCTGTTGGAAAAAAATAATTTAATGAAAAGCTAAAGCTAATGCTGCTCTGTTGTCTGGCTGTTTAATTGAATATAATTTATGAGGAGGAAGGGTGATTTGCTACATTGAGTGTGTTACTGTTAGCATCAAGTTTCCTTTTTTTCACCACGTTTTAAGATCAATGCTTTCTGCACAGTCTGTCAATGCCCTGGTCAGATAATTATAAGCTGGAATAATCGAAAGCAGACCTGACTTTCCAAGCTGGTCAGCATCTTAAAGCATTTGGCATGAGTAAGTAAATCTCTATTAGTGTAAACAGGGCATTTACATAGAATGTAGTAACCTACTTTTTGCCATTGCTACATCTTATATAATATATAAATGGTCTCAGATTTCAAATTGTAGTGTTGTCATCTTCATTATGTTCCAAAATCATTGGCAGCTTGGCTTAAGTGGAGCTCAGATTAAGAATACTCCAATCTCTGGAAGCTGGAAGGTTCTTCCATATGCATCTGCAATAGTTTTGCCATATAAATGGAGTTATAGACACAATGATGTAAAAGAGGTGCTAGTGCTCTTCCCCTGTGGTTTTCAACATTCATTACGAAACTCTCCTGCATCCATATTTACCCTGATATTCCTCATATTCCTGCTCACTCATACACACACAGCAGCTTCTGATGACAATCCATAATTACAACAAACACCAGAGCTGACCACGACTCTTTTACACTATTTGAGATGTTGCTACATGTCAGAAGAGCTCACTATGCTATGGTGACAATGGTGCCAAGCAGAAAATTGTCAGATTTTATATCATTAGACCAATCATAGCACAACTCATTAGGATAAGTCTCAAATCAAACAAGATAAAAAAATTCTCACTTTTTATGACAACACTACAGTTTTCCTTTAAAAATGGTGAATTTGAGTTTAAAGATCACCCTGGTGTTTAAATTCTACACGGCTTAATCTAGATCAAGCTTAGTGTAAAAGAAATTAACTGTGGTATAAATTACAACTTCTAAAAACCACTCAGTTAGTTGAAATACAAGTGCAGATACTTATAATTTCATCACTTAGAATAAATTTGATTTTAGATTACAAAAAAAAATAGTTACATCAATCAAGCAATGAGCATTTAAGCTTTCATTTTCTAGAATTTAGTCAATAGATCTGTGAGGATTTATTTATTTTTCTTGAGTAAA